TCAATACTTTCCCATAGCTTTTAGTCTTAGAGAGTCTAAAGCACTAAGACATTCAGTGGCATGTCTTAGATCATGCAACCAGTGTGTGTCAGAAGGAAGACTTGAATCCACATCTTGACTTCAGGTCAGCTCTTTATTAACTATGCCATTATGACTATCGATTTTTTTTAAAGAGCCGGAAATGACTTTAGAGGTCATTTGGTCGATATACGCACACTCCATTTTACAAATGAGGAAACTAAGGCCCTGTTGGGTTACAGGTTAAATGACTTTGCCCAAAGTCACAAAGCCAGCGTTGGTGATGGGATATAGTTTGTAGGTAGTACAGAAACTGCCTCCAACATTCAGGCAAAAACAAAGCTAACTGAATCATAGGATTATAAAGCTAAAGCTGGGAGGGACTTCTGTGGCCATCAAGTAAAACCCCCTCATTTTAGAGATAAGGAAATGAGCCCGAGAAATGCTCAGGGTGACTTGCTCTGGGTTACACAGGTAGACTCCAGAATCATCAGTGTGGTATTAGTGAAAAGAGGTAGTCAAATCTTATCTCTGAGCTGTCATGGGCTAGTGATTTGCCTTATCTGGTCTTCAATTTCTTCACATAGGAAAAGCAGATTTTAGACAACACAAGTTTTTCCCACAAGTTGTTCTCGAAGAGGACCGTAACATCAGGAAGGTGATGCCATGACTTGCAAGTGAATTGGATTTAAGTGAGGGAGGGCTGGGCAAAGTCACCAGCCTCACTGTCTCCTCCAGAGCCATCTGGATCCAGTGGCATGACATAGATCAGGATGACTGGAGATGGCCATGGATACAGTGTGAGACCTTGGCCTTTTTAAGTTAAGGCCTTTCTCAGGTCTCAGTTCGACTGAGGCAACACCCATTCAGTAATTAAGGCTAGGTAAGTCTTTGTACAAGTAGAGCTCTACTGAAAGGCATTACCTGCCCCCACCTCAAGCTGCACAATACATGACCAGGGTAAGCAGCATGAAATGTGCCCTCAACTCAACTTTTTAAGACAAATTTAGTTGAGGATGAAAGGGAAGGCAGTGACCTCAGGACACAGCAGGGCTGTTCCACCTGGCATGGGGTAGAAAGAGTTTCATTTGGGGTAGGGCAGAGAGGATGAAGAAGCATGCATCGTCTGGTAGATTCCAATTTTAACACATCAGGCTTTCTAAAGCTGCTAAGCTGAAATATTTCCAAACTGAAATATTTCTAAAAAACGTAAATGCTGTTAGTATAAATGCACACCAAATTTCAGTGCCCTGGACCAAAGCTCTGATCATCCTGCCCTAGTTACAGCTCTGCCTTCTAGCTCCAAAATTCAAGGACTCTAAGATGATAAGAGCTTTAATTCTCATAGCATTCACTTTAGTGCAATCTGTTTAAGAATCTTGCACATCTCATTGTCTGGTGGCAGTTTTACATAGGTAGATGGCCTCCTGTGGTAGAGACAGCACTGATCTTTTATTCAGAATGCCTTTTCTGGGTTCAATTCTCGCTCTTACTTTTAAAAGCTGTGCAGCTGGGGCAAGCAATTTAACTTTTCTGGGTTTCACATTCCTAATCTTCGTATTAGGAATAATAATCCCTGCATGCCTACCTCACTGTGTGGTTAAGAGGAAAGAGTTTACCTCAATACACTATAACAATATGAGCTGCTATCATTATTATTATTATAAGCAATTATTGCATACAATTCAGTCACAGAATCAGTGTGATGTAGGGAAAAGAATATTGGACTTTGAGTCAGAAGACCAGGATTCGAATCCTGACTCTCCCACTTGGCTGCATGACTTTAAGGCAATTTACCTGAGGAAAATGAATCTTAGATTGTTGTTGTTTTGTTTTTTAAATCTATAAAATGAATCCCCGAATCAAAGAATCTTAGACTTGGCAGTAACCTCAGAGGTCAGCCAGTTTGGGATAATTGAAACATGAATCAATACCCTTTAAAGCACTCCAAACAGTCTTCCAGCACTACGTTACACAAATGCAGAGATGGGACATTAGCTACCTACCAAGGCATCTCCTTGGCTCTTAAGTGTCCAGCATAACATCAATGTCTATAGTTTTTCTGTTCTTTTACATTTGATTCCCAAAGGCTGGAAGCCTTATTTTCTCTGTGCTACCCTTGCCACATTTTTTCCTTTTCTTTTCTTCTTATGCACTTTGTATTTGGAGAAGAATAGATAAAAGGAGTTCCACAGACTGACATGCAGTCAGTTTGCCCGCTGCACTCAGAGGATTCAGAGTCCTTCACATTATGGAAAGATTCCAGTCAAAATATACCAAGGATATTTCTGAGGCCAAAATGAGGAGGGACTGGACAATGACCAGACCTCTGACTTCTTTGTGACTGTTGGTCCCTAAGTTTTCTCACCAGAGTAATATGAATGTTTCTCTAAATAAGGAGTTCTAAATCTTTTTGGGGGGATCCTGGACACTTTTGGCAATGTGGTGAAGTCTGAGGAACCCTACTCAGGACAATGTTTTTAAATATATGTTATAAAATACATAGAGTTACAAAGGAAACCAATTATATTGAAATATAGTTATCAAAATATAAAAAAAAAATTTACAGACCCTGAAATCTATGCACAGACTCTATGGGGATCTATGGACCACAGGTTAGGAACCCTACTCTAAATCTTCATGACTCATGGAAATTCATAAATGCCTTCAGATTAAAGTGAAATTTATAATTTAGTTAAGAAGCTGAACTAATGGCATTAATCAAGAATAATAACAAGTGAAAGTTCTTTTTAGAATCAAAATGTTAGAGATAAAAGGGACACCTATTAATGCATTGACTTTATATTGTTATATATTACTATTATCATCTAAATCCAAACTAGTTGTATTAAACACTAGACTTCCTCCTAATATATGTACTGTTGGATAAATAACTTCTATTTTATTTTCCCCAATTCTGATATATGGGTAATACTTGTCTTCTGTAGCAAAGACAGATATCTTATTTAAGGATTCTTTAGTTAACAAGGTTGAGTGCCTCAAATGAAGATATTACATAACTACACAAAATTATTTCACTGGCCTTTCAGCAATGAAGATTTCCTGGTCCTTATCTCTAATTTTAAAAATGCATTTCATAGGGAGGAATTCCGTGATGTGAATAAATAGAACTTGTCAATAACCAACAAGCTTTTATTAAGCACTTGCTCTGTGCTAAGCACTATGCTAAGTAACAAAAGTCAAATGGTCCCTGTTCTCAAGAAGCTTACATTCTAATGGTAGAGACAACATAACCAATACCATATTGTGTTATTGACCTATTCACTTGAAGCAGGCCACATCTAGATTTTTTTTTTAATGACATGATTGCATAGATTCAAATAAAAATGTTCCTTTGGGTTTGGTTTCATTAAAGATTAATCAATTATTGAGATTAAAAATCCACTGGCATCATCATTTAATATCTGCTCAAGCCATCTCAGCCTGCTCCTGTAAGAATCATGCCTGTCTGTAATTTGAAGTTGTTGCCAGAGAAATTCATAAATATTATGATCTCAGTTAAGATTCCATCACAAGAAAAATTCAAAGATGTATTTTCTCAACTGAAGTTAAAAGGGTCTGAGTGTTTTTACATTGAAAGCACAGGTAGTTTGGTGGCTTCTTCCTCCTCCTTTATTCTCCTTCAGTTTGGCCCCAGAGAGCAGAACTTAAAGTAAATGCAGAAGTTACTAAGCAGCAAATTCAGACTTGATGTTACAGAAAACTTCCTAACCATTGGAGCCATCCAAGAGTGGAATAGCTAGATTGGCTCTGAAGGGAGCAGACTCCCCACCACTGGAGGTCTGTGAGCAAAGCTTGGGTGAATTAGTTAGGCCTTTGTGTTCAGAATTGGCACCCAAAAGACCTTCCAACCTGAGATTCTGAAAAAATACTAAAGCAGTCAAATTGTTCTTCCGTAAAATAAATATTTTTTTGCAAAGGCAACATCCTGTAGTTCGAGAAGCTGGGTGGCACAATGGATAGAGCAACAGGCCTGAAGTCAGTAAGACTCATCTTCTTGAGTTCAAATTTAGCCTCAGACACTTACTAGCTATGTGACCCTTGACAAGTTACTTAATCCTATTTGCCTCAGTTTCCTTATCTGTAAAAGGAGCTGGAGGAGAAAATGGCCTACTGCTCCAGTATGTTTGCCAAGAAAACCCCAAATGGGATCATGAAGAGTTGGACATGATTGAAACAACTCAATAACAACATGTTTTAGTTTAGCTGATTCTTATTCATGTGTATGTGTGTGTGTGTGTGTGTGTGTGTATGTGTATGATGGCAGTCTTGTGAAGCCCATAAACCCTTTCTCAGAATCATGTTTTTAAATGCATAAAATAAAATACATAGGACTAAAATGGAAACCAATTATATTGAAATATAGCTATCAAAATATGAAGAAACGTTGAACATAGTGATTAAAAAAAAATGGCTTTGGAGTCAGAGGACCTGGATTCAGGTCCTGGTTCTGCCACTTAGGACCTGTGTGATTTGGTTTGTTGTTCAAGTATTTTGGTCATGTCCAACTCTTTGTGACTCTATTTTGGGGTTTTCTTGGCAAAGATACTGGAGCGGTTTGCCATTTCCTTCTCTAGCTCCATTTACAGATGAGGAAACTAGAGGCAGAGTTAAGTGACTTGCCCAGGGTCACCCAGCTAGAAAAGTGTCTGAGGCCATATTTGAACTCAGGAAGATGACTCTTCCTGAATCCAGGCCTACTGCTCTATGCACTGTGCCACCTAGCTACCCCATTTATCTTATATGGTCATAGATTTAGGACTAGAGGGGACCCTAGGGGCCATGGAGTACAGCCTCCTTATTTTTAGGAGGAACCTAATGAGGCTAGGAGAAGTTAAATGATTTGCCCACAATTCATGCAGAGGCAGAGTCGGGATTTGATTATAAACCTGATTGGTTTTCCACTTCATAAAAACTGCTTCCATTGTTTGCTTTTACACATTTATTCTTTTAGGGCCATAAACAGGTTGTTGCCACGAATGGCCAAAATAAATTTTCCAAATTAATCAGAAAAATGGCACAATTCCTGAAAGGAGCCACAGATTGAAATAAAAAAAAATATTTACAATTCTTTCTTGTTCAGTTTTCTGTTTTTCAGCGCAAATCCTTCCTGATGTTGAGGGCCCCTTCTTTGATTCACCCACTTTCTTGTCTCTGAAAAAGAGAATAACATTCTGTGGAAGCTTGACCTCTCAGAAGTCCTCTCATCAGTCAATGGGCTTGACAGACAAAAGAAGGGAAAACATGACATGCCATGGGTCATGGATTATTCAACATAATGCTAATCCTCCAAAATAGGGTAGCATGTTCAAAATAAGCTGCAAGAATACTTCTGTCTATGATCAATGTCATGACCCCTATGGATAAGGAAGAAATATACTTGCATAGAAACCAAAGGCCATCTACCACAAAAAAGTAGCAACACAGAGGATATATAGCCCCCCAAGGACCCTTAATTATCGGGCCACTGCATCATTTTCATTAGCTGAAAACTGATTTTATGACTCTCTGGAAGGTCCCAAGTACCTCATATGTTAATCATATAGGATATAGTGACATCTGGTGGCATTGAGTAGCCAAATGCTTACAAATGAACAATGTCCATGAACAACAAAAATAATAATAAATGGAATGATCTTCTGAATCATCAGAACTGTTCCTCAGTTCTTCTAACTTGTGCTTTAAAAGACTTTGATTTTTCTTTCCAGTATCATTTTCCATTGCATCAGGGAATAAAGCATTCCTTTGCTTAAACCTCTCAGAGAAGCTGCATTTTGCTGAAAATAAGTATTAGGTCCAGGTTTTGTTAGGTAAGTGAGCTGTTGACTAATTTGGGAGTCTAATTTAATTATCAAATTTTAGAGATAACAGTTTTTCGTTATTTTAGGTAAGATGTTTTGTTTTATTGTAAGGTTACTTTTATTAAAGTCCAGTCTTCTATGTCTGTCAGTGTGAGAGACTTCCAGTGCGGAAATTCCCTTTATCAGATAAAGCACCCAATCAACTAATAAGCATTTATTAGTCAGGCATCATGCTCAACATTAGTAGGTATACACAGCCAAGAATGAAGCAGTCCTTGTCCTCAAGTAGCTTACATTCTATCAGGGAACCAGCAAAGGGATTCTAGCATCATACTGCAATGGACATCAGAAGACTTGAGTTCAAATTCCACTTTACCACTTGTGTGACCTTGGGTGCATCATTTAACTTCTCTGGACCTGTTTTCTCAATCGTAAAGTAAGGAGTTGGACTGATGTCCCTTCCAGATGCACATGAATGATCCAATGATCATAAATCAGTATATGCAAAGTAAATATTACATAACTTTTGGGGCAATATGGTACTTACCACTGGGGAAGATAAAGATATATCTCATGTAGATGGCAAGATCAGAGTAGCAACTCAGCTGCAATTTATCATCTTAGAGACTTAGCAGGGGTCATTGAGAGGTTAAGTGATTTGCCCAACTAACAAGCATGTATTATATACCATGTTGTAGAGCTCAGGATAAAATGACAAAAATTAAATAGTCCCTGCCCTCAAGGAGCTTACAATCTATCTTCCAGGGTCATGTAGGACTTGTCAGAGGCAAGACCTGAAGCAAAACTTCCTGACTCCATGTCTAGTCTTCTAGCTCCTGAGCCAAGTTATGGTTTTTTGAAAATGAATAAATATGATTCTTCTAATTTCTTTGCAGAGTAACCAAGACTGCATAAATAGAATGTGGTACATTCACATACTCAGTGCTATCATGTTACTAAATTATTTGACCTCTCAAAAATATATTTGGTTTAATATAGCAGAGAATTAGTATAAGAAGCCCTGTGATATGGTGAAAAAACAGGCTAGCATAGTAGACAGAGGATTGGATTAGAAATCAGGAATCCTGGGTCAACCACCTGTCTAGCTATATGACAGCAGACAGGCCAAGTGCCCTCTTTTATCCTGATGGTGGTGGTGGTGCTGGTGTCGCTGTTGCTGTTTCTGGTGGATGGAGAGTATGAAAGTAGATTGTCTCTAAAATCCCCTTTAGCACTAACATTCCAAGGATCTAGGTACAGTCTCCTAATCAGCCTCATTTATCTTCAGAGCAGCTGTGCATCAGATAAAGTAAAAGATGAGGCTTTTTTGAGCCTCTGTTTTGTCATTTATAAAGTAATGAGGATGGAATAGGGGACCTCTACACCTCTAACATTCTACGATGCTAAAATTTTAAACCCCATTTTTTTGAAGGGAGAAACCAAGGCAGAGAGATTTTATCAAACTTGCCAAAATTCAGTGTTGAGTCCATGAATGTTGTGGGAATTTCTGGTTTTAGGCTTTGCCACCTCTTTTTTTTTGTATGTTTCCATTTAAGATGAGTGACATGCAGTCAGTTGTCATGGTTTTCAAAAGATCTCTTATAAGTCTGGTTTTTGCCTCAAATTTTGGAATAAAATCATGTTTAAATTTTGTTTCCTCTCATCTTCTCCTGGTTTTGATTATTTCTAAAAGTAGTTGATGGTCTCATGACATGAGCCCAGCATTTTGCATTTTGTGTACCATGTTTTGAATTTTATGTGAAATTGTGGGTTTGATCTTTGACCTCTGTTTACTAGAATACTGATTTGCCACTAATTTGATAGCAAGCCATAGGGATCTATCATAAACAAGCCGCTCACTTTACATAGCCATGTTTTGCTCTTAAGTGATGGAGTATGTACTGGGTATAATTGAGAATCTCTTGCAGAAGTAATAAAAACCACATAACTCTGTAACTTCCCAGGTAGCATTGAGACTAATCTAATCACCATCAATGACAGAGTGACAAGACCAGCAGATTGAGAGGAAGGAATAGATATAAATGTGGGCAACCTGGGATTTTATTTTATCTCTCTTAGGAAAGGGATGTTGTGGTACAGTAGAACGGATTTGCAGTCAGGGTACCTGGGCTTATAATTCTGCTTCTGTCCCTTCTTGCTTCCTAGACTTTGGGCAAATTACTTTAAGCTCTCTAGACCTCAGTTTCCACATCTATAAAATGAGAGGGTTAGACTAGATGATCTCTACAATTCCTTCTTGTCCTGAATCCAAGATTCAACACAGTTGTCCATACACTGGGAAAATAGCAGTATAAACCCCTCTACTATTCATGATGCCTAGCTAGCACTATGAGAGTGTATCAAGCAGAAACCAACCTCCAGGCCAGGTTTGTTTCTTTTCCTTTTCTTTTAACATTTTTTGTCAATTGTTTGTCTAGCAGGATCAAGAAATAGCACAGAGGACCAAGTGTATGGTAGTACATCTTGGGAAGAAATTCAGTAGTACAAATCTTTCCCTACTTCAATCTAGCCTCCACTCAGCTGTCAAACTGATCTTCCTAAAGGGACTATGGCATCCCCCTACTCAGCAAACTCCTATTACCTTCCTATTATCTCTGAGGTCAGATAGAAAATCCTGTTTGGCTTTTAAGGACCTCTAAAACTTGAGAGCAGGGGTGGTCTTTTGCCTTTCTTTGTATCCCCAGCATTTAACACAGTGCCTGAAACATAATCCGTGTTAATTAATGCTTGCTGACTGTCTCTGCCTCTCCAACTCTTCTGTAGTCCAGCTTTGTAGGTTTTCTTGAAGTCCTTCAAACATGATTCTCCTTTGATTTATCCTTGCTATTCTTCATGCTTGGAATGCTCTGCTTCCTAGGCTTCCTCTCTTCCTTCAAGTTTCACTTCACATCTTACCTTCTACAAGAGGCCTTTCTGAAACCCCATCCCCAAGCCCTTCCAGTTGGTGCCTTGCTTCTAAGATTAAAGTCTATCTATATGTACCTTGTATGTAGGGCAGCTAGCCAGATGATGTGGCTGATAGAGCACCAAACTTAAGAGTCAGAAACTCATCTTTGTGAGTTTAAATTTGACCTCAGTCACTCACTAGCTTTGTGACCTTGGGCAAGTTATTTAACCCTGTTTGTCACAGTTTCCTCATTTGTATAATGAGCTGGAGGAGGGAATGGCAAACCACTGCAGTTTCTTTGCCGAGAAAACCCCAAATGGGGTCATGAACAGTCAGACGTGGCTAAAAAATGACTGAACAATATCTTGCATGAACATAGTTGTTTGCATGTTGTCTCCTCCATTAGATTGTGAGTTCCTTGAGAATTGGGATTGGTTTTGTTGTTGTTTTACTTTTCTCTGTAGCCTTAGTTCTTAGCACAGCGCCTGGTACACAATAAGTGTTTAATAGAATGGATGGTGATAAGGATGATGATGAAGATGAAGATGACAAAGTTGAGAAGGCACTCAAGCAAAGTGTAGGTGGGGATGGGAGAAAAAAGATCTAAGTGTCATAATGCATAAGCATAGGACAGGAAGGACAAAAGCATTTAAGTGCCTACTATGTGCTAGGTACTGTGCTAAGTGCTTTGCAAATGTTATGTCATTTAATCCTCACAACAACTCTGGGAGACAGGTGTTATTATCTCTGCTTTAGTTGAGGAAATTGAGGCAGACAGAAGTTAAATGACTTGCCTAGGGTCACACAGAAATTTGAAATCAAGTTTTCCTGACTCCAGTCTCATCACTCTGTTCACTCCACCTCCCAACTGCCTCTAGCCCAGAAATGTAGCCCTCTCATTAAGCAGACAAATCCTGCAGAGGGAGGCGTACAGGCACATACACATAGTGTAGCAGAGAAACTATGATAGAAATAGCTGGCTGTACCAATCTTTAAGCCTCCTCAGAGAGGAAAACTGGGTGGGGGAAGGGACTTAGGGCTGCCCACCTCCAAAATGAGGCATCTGGCTGCCTTTACTCTGCCCTGCCTGACCCATGGCCCCTGAGAACACTGCCAAAGCAGCAGTTACCAGTCATGGCTTTGTACCTAGTCAGATTTAAGAAGTATTTACTGAGTAGCCACTACATACACTGAATTATGCTAAGGGCTGTGGGGAATACAAAGCAGAAAAAGAAATAGTCCCTTTCCATTAAATAATTCATATATGGTTGGGAGCAGGAGAGAGAGACAGAGATGGAGAGACAGAGACAGAGAAAGACAGAGAGAGAAAGGCAGAAAGAGAGGAGAGATGGATGGAATAGATAGCTAGAAAGATGATAGAAAGATAGATGATCAGTGGATAGATGAAAGATAGACAGATAGATAGATAGATAGATAGATAGATAGATAGATAGATAGATAGATAGGTAGATAGATAGAGGAATGAGAGACTGGTCCTGTGATTTCACAGTACAGAGAACTCCTGGTTAAATAAATTCTCTGTACCCATACAGGTTGTCACCTTCTCTGACAATTATATTTTTAGCAATTCCCCTAAAGCACTAAGAGATTCAGGGACTTACTTAGGATTGCAGAGTCAGTGGGTATCTACTTCTTCAAGTAGGACTTGAACCCAGGTCTTCCTGGTTCCAAGGGCATCTCTCCATCCACAAGGCTATACACAAAAAAATTAAATAACATAAGCAGGTTAAATAAGAATTTCAGCCCAAGAGTATTGGCTACAGAGGGAAGATGTTGATTAAAGTAAAGACACTGACAGGGAAGGAAACTGAGAGCAACATTGACTCCCCCCAGACAAGATGGAATGGATCAAAGAGCAAATGGGATTACTCCTTGGCAGCAGCTATGACACACCCATGATAAAGGTTGGAAAGACAGCTGCTGATTACAAGACCTTCAGTTGTCCCTTTTGCAGTGACTTCTCTTGGGAGAGGTGCCTTTGGGCAGTGATGGACCTCCCTTCTCCTGCTTCATCCCCCCAGACATCACTCATAATATACCCTTCCACTTTATGGGACAACAGAGCTGCCATCTCTTCCCCAGGACAGTTGCCTATGTGCTTCTGCTGCTGGGAGATGTCTGTGGGAACTCAGGAGCAATCTAGTTATTGGGCTTTAATTTGTGGTCTCACCTCCCTCATGGTTGTGTCCTGGTTGATAATAAAGATGTTTGTTTCCTAGTCCAAATAAATAAATTAAATAATTCCAGAGGCATCACAAAGTAGCTCATGACCAGGTACCAAATAAGTGGTCTAAAGGGTAAGCCAAATGAGTTCACTGGAGATAGAGAGGTATTCCCCTCTCTTCCACAACAATTCATCCTTATCTACAGCATACATTCAGTCTCTGCTTGGAGACTTTCAATGAATTGGCCACGTTGTCTGAATGCCAAACGTGTGCTTGCCAAAAGAGACTATGTTATGGAGAATTCACACAGGGCAAGCGCTCACATTGTGGTCAGAAGAAGTGATACAAGGACACTCTCAAGGTCTCTTAAGAACTTTGGAATTGATTGTGTGACATGGGAGACACTGGCACAAGACCACCCAGCATGGCGTGCACTCACCATAGAATGGGCTGTGCTCTATGAGCAAAGCAGAATTAAAGTAGCTCAAAAGAAACTCAAGAGGTGCAAATTTAGAGAATCCACCTTAAATATTCACATGGACTGTTTGTGCCTAACCTGTGATAAAACATTCTGAGTTCAAATGTTCTGATCAGCTGCGGTCGGATACACTGTAACCTGACTCTAGTGTAATGATGTCATAGTGATGTCATAGTTCTCTTCAAGAATGAATGACAACAACCATAAACACATTACCTACCAGGGATGCCAATTCAACTTTTAAATAGTTCTCCTTGTTAGAAGGTTTCTTCTTCTGTAGAGCCTATATCTGCAAGTAGAGATTGCTTCATTCTTTATACTTGTACCCACATACACTAGCACAGTAAAATAAAAGTAGCTAAGATTGTTGAGCAAGAATAGACAATTATGAGATGAAAATTTTAGGGGGCAGCTAGGTGGCACAGTAAATAGAGCACCAGCCCTGGAGTCAGGAGGACCTAAGTTCAAATCTGGCCTCAGACACTTACCAGCTGTTGACCCTGGGCAAGTCACTTAACCCCAATTGCCTAAAAAAAATTTTTTTTTTTAAAAAGAGAAATGAAAATTTTACTTGAAACAGATTTTTAAATAATTTTAAAATAACAATTGATAAGTAATAAAAATAATAAAACATTTTCATGTCTAATTGCTCAACACTAAAAAATTTTAAAATAAATGCTTGTTGATTGATTGATTGATTTTCCACTGTGCTCCAAGTTCTGCCCAAGACAGTTGAGTAGAACACGTTTAATTCCTCTTCCAGCACAGCCCTTACTTGAAGACCACTATCATGTTCCCTGAGTCTTCTCTTTTCCAGGTTAAACAAGCCCCATTCCTTCAACTCATGTTCATACATTTATATAGCATTATCTTGATACCTTCATTATCTTGTTTGCCTTCCTCTGGACACTCTCCAGTTTATAGAAGTCATTCCTATATTGTGGTGCCCAGAACTGAACACGATACTCCACTGTGCCTCTCTTAAGATCCCCCAAAATCTTGTTACCTTTTTTTGGCTGCCACTAAACCCCCTAAATCCTTTTTCAGACAAACAGCTATGGAAAAATTGAGGTGGTACAGTGGATAGAATTGTGGACTTTGAGTCAGGAATTCTTGAGTTCAAATCTGGCCTCAGACTAGATGGGTAGCCCTGGGAAAGTCACTGAATATCTGTATGCCTCAGTTTCTTCATCTATAAAATGAGGATAATAATAACACCTACCTCTCAAGGTTGTTGTGAGGATCAAATGAGATACTATTTGTAAAGTACTTTGTAAGCCTTCTAATAATAAATAATAAATAAATGCTATTATTATTTTAAAATTGATTTGTTGAACACAGCTGTAAGACTTAATTTTTATTCTAATCCAATTCAGTCCAATATGCTAGCCTATTAAGATCTTTGCTGGATCCTGGCTCTGCCATTCCTTGTGTTACTTATCCCGCCCTGATTTGTATCATCATGTCATTTAAAGAAAGCTACCATATTCTCCCTAACTTTACTCTTCTCCTGGCTAAACTCTCTAGTTCCTTTGATCACTTCTCAAATGGCATGAACAGGCCTTTTCCCATCCTAGTCTTTTCATTGGTATTCTTTTCTGTTTCTCTAGGTTTTCATGACCTGCTCCCAGCTGGTTTCATCATCTACCTGTCTAACACTATTACTCAGTAATTTTTAAGGACTGTGTAGATTCTTTTATTTATAATGTAGAAGTATTCTAGTTTCCAAAGGGTTTATTACTCAGCTTTTGTCCAGGTCATGCTAGATGAGGGTCCCCCCAAGGCTTTGCCCTGGGCCCTCTCTACTGTTTTGTTTGGTGATCTTATCAGCTCCTATGGACTCAATTATCATCTCTACGTAGATGATTCTTATATCTATTTATCCTACTCTAACCTCTCTTTTGACCTCCAATCTTGAATCTCCAACTGCCCATTGGATATCTTGAACTGGATGTCCCGTGAATAACTTAAACTCTGCATGACAAAAATGGAGCTCATGATCTTCCTTCCAAACCGTCCCCTCTTCCTAAGTTTCCTATTTCTATACAAGGTACAACGATCCTGTTAGTCACCCAGATTTGCAGCCTAGGTGTCCTCCTCAACTTTTCATTTTCTCTCCTTGCACCCTGCCCCCATATCGAATATATTGCCAAGTTCTGTTGACTCTACATATGCAACATCTGTCGTGTATGCTTCTTTTCTCTCCTCTGATACCATCACCTCACTGGTGCAGGTGTTCAACACCTCCCATGTGAACTATTGCAGTAGCCTTCTGGTTGGCCTCCCTATCTCAAGGCTTGCCCCACTCCAATCCATTCTCCATTAAGTTATCAAAGTGATTTTCCTAAAATGCAGATTAAACCATGTGACTCCCCTCTTCTGTCAACTCCAGTGGCTCCCTATTGCCTCCAGGTTCAAATATAAAATCCTCTGTTTGATTTTTAAAGTCCTCCATAATCTGGCTCCATTCTACCTTTCCAGTCTTCTTAAACCTTAGTTCCCTCCACGTACTCTATGGTTCAGTAACTTTGGTCTACTTACTGTTGTTCTCACAGGACACCCCATCTCCTGATTCCATACATTTTCACTGGCTTCCCCCATTCCTGAAATTCCTTCCTTCTTTAAGAACATCTCCTAGCTTCCCTGGCTTCCTTCAATTCCCAGTTAAAATCTCATCTTCTGAAAGAAGCATTTCTAGGTTCTCCTTAATGTTAGTGCCTTCCCCCTGAGATTATCTCCCTGTTTATGTCTTATACACATAGTTGCTCGTATGCTGTCTAGCCTCATTAGATTGTGAGCTCCTTGTGAACAGGGACTTTTTTTTTTACCTTCTTTTGTATCCCCAGTATTTAGAACAGTGCTTGGCACATAGTAGGTACTTAATAAATTCTTGTTGACTTGACTTAACTTGAGAGCAATTAGGTCTTTTTTTTTCTCCTCGTTGGAATTATTTCTTTTTTTTGTCGTTAGAATTTGATTCTTTTTCGGGGGGGGGTGGTAGGCAATGGGGTTAAGTGACTTGCCCAGGGTCACACAGCTAGTAAGTGTTATGCGTCTGAGTCTGGATTTGAACTCAGGTCCTCCTGAATCCAGGGTTGGTGCTCTATCCACTGCACCACCAAGTTGCCCCCTAGGATTTGATTATTGAGAGCTTCCCATCTCTCTTGGGCTGACATCCTCTACCATACTTTAGTCCATTTTATTCTACCAATACTTCTTCTGGTCTTCCCATTGCCCACCCCCCATGCCCAGCCTGCACTCCCTCCTTACCTCTACCTCTACCTCAGAGAGTCTACTCTTCCTTTAAGATGCTACTCAAGCACCATCTTCTGGACAAAGCTTTTCCTGATTCCAGGTGACTCCACCCAACATATCCTATCAGGTCTGAGATACCTAGGAGGTCAAATTGCTTCATTGTGTTAGGACCTGTAGTTTATCTTTCATATCCATACTTTGTGCATTTGCAGGTAGATCTCTGGGGTGGAAGGCTTTATAACTTTCTCCTTTCTTGGATTTTTTTCCTACTAAATAACTGAAGGGCTTCCTATTTCATATCTGTTGTCTATGATAGGTAGCTTGGTGAATATACACAGGAAATTTTGTCATCCTGTACTTTCTTTTTCCATGTAAAGCCATTCAGATAAGATATGTAAAGCCTCACACAATTACATTCTTCCTGGTCTTTATTAGATGAAGTTCATCATTGGTCAGTAGCTCATCATTCCTAAATTTTAATCCATAATTCAGAAGTCCAAATCTCACTCTCAGATACCATGTTCTTACCCTGCTACTCACCTTCAAAATTAGCTTCTCCTGTATCTCTTGCCTTTCCTGGGCAATGGTGATGAAACAACAACAACACCCATGCTTATTGTGTCTTCAATTTCTTGTGCAAGACTTTATAACCCTTGGCAATGCCTTCTAGATTCTTTCTGGCAGTCTCATTTGTACCACGTGCATCACCACAAAAGGAGAGTGATTATGTCATCTGACATGTCTTATGGAGTTCTCTGTCATGTTCTGCATTTGTGTCCTGGGAAGACAGCAGAC